CACACCTCGGGAAAGATCTAAACGTCTGGTTTCACTGAGTTGACTATTGCTTTAGAACCTTCTGCATTCCCGATGAGGCAGCCATACCATTCATTATTTCAGGGCTTTCAGCTAACGACTTTACAAAGATGCGTCACCACACGAAGGTGGCTAGTATCAGTACTTAGGCTGACATGAAGGCAGTGTGGCAGCTTGGGCTAGTTGGTATGGCATGACGATAGTTATAGCGCGAGAACAAAACGACGACACAGAGACAAGAAGGACACGAAAGACACGAGCGCTCGTGTCTTTCGTGTCCTTCTTGTTTCTGTGTCGTCGTTTTGTTCTCACGCTATAACTATCATCATGAAGGCAGCGTCCCGCCGATGTTATAACATGGACTGCGATGTAACATCTAAGCAGCGAATGTTCGGTGGAACGCAACGAACAGGGAGTCATGTACAGACTTCGCATACCGAAAGCTCGACCTGATGGAGCAGTGCAACTATCCTGTACTACAACAGGAAAAGGGCCAAGTTATCATGGCTACTCTGTCACCCAAGGCAAAAAAGCACTTTTTTGATAAAACATTTAAGCGGCTAGACGATATAAGCTCTCTTCTGCACTTTGACCAGATCAGAGATTCGAAGGAAAGCATTCAAATTTTGGCTGCAGAAGAGTGTGGAATGCCATCCACAATGCCATCCGCCGAATTCAATGTTATGGCAAAGCGTTCGCCTCGGAAGCCTCTGCGCCGTCGTCAACGCACGGACAGCATAGGGCCTAGCGGTTCCGCAGATGATGAAGAAGCTGAGAAAAAGGTGAAAGAGGATACGAAAGCAAGGCCATCACCGTCGCGGCAATTGACTCATTCCCCAACACGTGTTTTTGAAAGGTCGCAAGGAAATGCCCCGAGAGTTCGTAAACTGTCCTTGGACTGCTACAGAAGTGGCCATTTTGTCACACAGTGTCATCTACCGCTAACTGCAGAATTTTTGAAGTGGCAGGAAGATTTTGAATCTTCGAGCTCACAACAGCGGGGAAACGAACAGCTAGTGACGCCGATGCCCGCAAGCAGTCGCCAGTAATTGAACAGGTGTCATGTGTCTCTGAAGCGGGTACTTTTTCTGTTCCTGTCGCCATCAACGGACAAATGATCGAAGGCATCTTGGATTCTGGAGCTGTCAAAAGCTTGATTACGGCTCCAATAGTTGACAAACTCGAATTAAGCATAAGGCCTTCGTCCCTACATTTGGTAGGAGCAAGCGGCCATCAGATACAAAATTTAGGTCAAGTCAGTGCTGTGGTGACAGTGGATGACCAAACACCGCAGCATGACTTTGTTGTTGTTCCCCAGATACCTCACGAAGGAATACTGCTAGGCGATGACTTCTTGCGGGCTTCAAGAGCCGTCATCGACTGGGGCTCTGAGAGCTTCGCGGTATCGATCCCCCAAAGGCTACGCAAGGTTTACCTGGTTAGGGAGCAACCACTGCCAGCTTTATCACGGAAGTTAATTCCTGTGGCCTGGCATTGCGTGTCGGAAGATGAAAATCATTTAATGGTCATCACCGGAACAAATTTTTTGTACGACCGCTATTCAGTCATAGTGGATTCCATGGTAACAACTGCATCGGAAAATACAACGAAGGTTTTGATCACAAACTGCTCTTCTCAAGCCGTGTTGCTTCCTTATCAGATGACAATGGCCTCATTGAAGAAGCAAGCAGAATTGAGGATATTGAACTTTCTGGAGAGGACTGCCAACAGATCCTCTAAATTTCATGCCTTCCTTCTCCTGTGAACCTTGATTCACCACCAGCTCATACAGTTGTCGATCCGCAGCACTGTTCAATCGCAATAGGAGACGTCAGCTTTAACATTGGCACAACACTATCTTCCAATGAGTTGTAGGTCGTGAAGGATTTGTTGGTGCAACATTCGGTTTGCTTTGCACAGTCAAGTACAGATGTAGGCTCCAGCACAGTTGACTAAAATTGCATTCCAACTGGAAACGTGAAGTCAATATCGCAACGTCTTCGCAGATTGTCATCAGCACAGCGTGATCTCGTCATAAGTATGATCAAGGACCTCATTGATGGCAATATAGTGCGACCTTCTCGGGGTCCTTGAGCGTCACCCCTTGTCATTGTAGCAAAGAAAGACGGGACGACGCGCATGTGCGTTGATTATCGACGTCTCAACGCTGTCACTGAAGACATTGTGTAACCTTTCCCAAGAATTGAAGATGCGCTGCAGGCACTTATCGGAAGCAAGTACTTTACTGTTATGGACTTGGTGTCTGGATTTTATCAGATCGCCATGCATCCAGATGACATACAGAAGACTGCCTTCGTCACGCTGTGGGGTCTTTACAATTTCCTCCGAATGCCATTTGGCCTTAAAGGTGCCCCATTCACATGTCAACGAGCCGTGGATACCATCATTGATGGTGTTAAATACGACAATGCCTTTGTGTATATGGATGACTGCGTAGTCTTCAGCCGGACATTTGAACAACACGTTTCCCACCTTCAGAACTTATTTACAAGGTTCGAAATAGCAGCCTTGATGTTCAAGCCACAGAAGTGTTTCTTTTTTTATACTGCCATCAATTACCTCGGGCTCGTCTTCACAAAAGATGGTGTATCTCCGGACCCATCGAAACTGGCAGTGGTTCAGGCTTTCTGGCCTCCTTGAAATGAACAGGAAATACAATCATTCATCGGGCTCACATCGTACTTCAGAAGGTTTATCCCGAATTACAGCGTTATTGCAGCACCTCTTCGATCACTCCTAAAGAAAAACGCTACTTTTTCTTGGGAACAAGATCAGCAAGTGGCATTTGAGACATTAAAGAACGCGTTGTGCCAGCCACCTGTCCTTAAGCTATTCTCCGAAAAACTAGAATTTGGTGTCCAAGTTCACACAGATACGTCGCGGCTCGGCTTGAGAGGTCTATTGCTGCAAGAAGATGAAGAGCGACGATATTGTCCAGTGCTATACTTGAGTCAATCTCTCAAAGGTGCATAGTTTAATTATTCTTTGACAGAACTGGAAGCTCTTGCAGTAAAATGGGCATTAGAAGAGCTATGACCATACTTGATTGGCCGAAAATTTCAAGTTGTCAGCGACCACCATGCACTGTGCTGGGTCTTGTGCTACAAGAAAACCAATGCCTTCTTCGTTGGTCACTGATTCTGCAGGAATTTGACTTTAATGCCATCTATAAATCAGGAATTCTGCACAGTGCACCAGATTGTTTTTCCAGGAACCCCCCAATGTTGATGATGCTGAACCAATTCCTGCAGTACCATATCCAAAACTGCCGATTTTGTGACAACATGGGTAATGAGCAGCGTCAGGATGCATTTTACACTAAAGTCCTGAATATGCTTAGGGGTGCGCCGGGCAGGAAAAAGCAACAGAAATGCGTGCAGAAGAAGTTTATCACGCATAACGACGTGTTGTACAAAAGAGACCAAGGCCCAGTCAGCAGTCAATTTCTCCTCTGCCTTACTGCACAACGACAAGCTGAGGCACTTCGTGAAATGCATGAAGGACAATACGGTGGCCACATGGGCATCAGGCGAACATTCAATGCCCTTAGATCTAAGTATTACTGGCCGAAACTCTATGCAGATGTCAGACGGTACGTGTGTCACTGTGACCTTTGTCAGCGGTTGAAGATGTCGACATCGGTGCCTTACGGTCTATTACAGCTAATAGAAGTCCACAGCCCATTTCACACAGTTGGGATGGACATAATAGGGCCATTGAAAACTTCAAGAGATTACAAGTACATCATTGTAGCCATTGATTACCTCACTAAGTTCGTGGAGGCAAAACCACTCCGGAACATAGAGGCCGCAACCGTTCAGAAGTTTGTCGAACGACGGATCATCTCAAAGCACTGATGCCCAGCCACATTTATTACAGACCGCGGTACTCAAATGATGGCGCACTCTTCTGAAGCATACCTCAAACATCAGGGCATCAGACATGCTGCCACTACCGCATATCACCCCGCAGCAATCGGCTTGTGCGAAAGAGCCAATAAGACAATCAAACAGATTATTGCCATGACTACCGCGGGGGGAGAAAAATGGGCTGATGTCCTCCCTTATATTGTATTCTGTTACAACACCAGGTACCAAGACACGGTTGGTCAAACCCCCTTTGTTCTGGTCTACAGTAGGGATCCGGTACTACCATTAGATGTTGTTACGATACTACCATTAGATGGTTAGACAGACAGCGGCACTTCCAGTGCCGCTGTCTGTTTCCTTCTTTCTCTTGTCCCTCGTTATTGGCGCTGTTTTTTAAGTGAATCATGTCGTACCAACTCGCCCAAGCAACCACGTTAGGTACTTGGTGCGTGTCTCGCGCCTTTGCGCGAGGAAAACGAAGTAAATCGGCACCAAGCTCGCGGGCGCTCGAGGAACGTGGAATAAAAAAAAGGGTCTGGCGGTCCCTTCCTGATCTTTAAAGAGTGTGGACGTCCTTCTTACGCTGCCTCGGAACCCAGTATATCCGACGACCACAACGGCACGTCATAGCGACGGTGGCCCAACTTCGACGTCCAATAATCAAGCTCTTCTGGCTGTCACATCGCTTTCTTTGGTTTTGCTCTGACTTGTGGTAGCTGTTTACTACAGCTACCACAAGCGTCTATGAGCACAAAGGTTTGTTCAATCATTATTGATAAGATGTTAGTCGTTGGAATGGAGACGTACAACTAAACGTCAACGTAGATGCAGCCACATTAAGTGGTGCTTTAGCTTTCAAACACCAACTGACATTGCGCAAGTTCGCTTGTATCAATGTACAGTAGATTTTCAACTACGCTTTAATTCTGTGTTTTACCGATTCCTATGATGAAGGGATCAAGCATGTTTTTTTTGTTTGTTTTTTGTTTTTTGTTTTTTTTTTTTGAGAAAATCTCCTGATGGTTACACTCGTTGATGGTAGCAAGAGAGTTCACGTGTCATCATAAAGTGAGGCTGATGAGAGAGACTCACAGGGGTTTCGGCGAGCACTGCTGGAGACAGACTGGTGGGCAGCCTTCATGGCCTTGAGTAGCAGAAGCTTGTTCGCCTGCATGCCCTCGGGCACGCTCGATCTGCAAGAACCAAGAAGTAAGGGCTGCATCTGCAATCAGCTAGACCAAGCCATTCATTCACTGTACAGTCAGTCATACTGAACTGGGTCCCATTGAAACAGTCGTTGTGACTAGGCTTCAATGAATATCAATACGTAGTTTGTTCAACAGAAATAGCAAGTGAATATCAGCTAGTATTGGACAATTGCAATGAACAACGAGCAGCAGGATTCTAATAGTTGTGAGGAGAAAGTTATAAGCACCACAATATGCGATGCTTGCAAATTTACCATGTTTAGCCTTCATACACAAACCTGTACAACCAGCTCTTAAACGTAGAAGAAAATTATTCAGGGAGAAAAAGATATGCACACTTCACACTGAAGTGTGGCTTCACTGCAGCGTAGATTTCACCAACCGTATTCACTTGCATAATGATATCACTTATGTAATCCCGCCCCTATACTTTGCCGTCAAAATTTTGTCCAACCCCACCCCGCATAATGATCGCACACAGAGCTTGCTGTAGCAATAAGTTGTGTGTGATGTTTAGCTGATGAACATCATGTTTACCGTCTCACGAATGTTCCATAAGTAACTTAAGACTCGCCAAGAGAGTTGCACGCAGCAAACAGATTCTCAATTTACACCCACCCCACACGCAGATGCGCCACATTAGGATTGCAGTAAGGACAAATGCCACAGTTTTCACTGCATGCCCGCCATATGTTTTTACTTCTGTGGAAGCTGAACGCGCCCACCTCTGTTTCTGTTCTATTAAAACAGACATGGCTACACTACTGCCACAAATTTGCCTACTGAAATAAGATCATTCATTATTTCGACATAAGAAACTGCTTTGACACATGTGACCGACCCCTACGACTCACGGAAAAAAAAAACTGATTTGCCTAGCTTTGTCAGCTGCGAGAAATGTTTTAATATTCAGGACGACCGTATTCACTTGCATAATAAACCCACCTTTTTTTTTTTTTTTTTTTCAGAAAAGTTGACACCAATTTGGGGGGTAGGTTCATTACGCGAGATAAAAGTCACAAGAGTTATAACAGCGAAAATTTCATGTGACGTTTTTGCTCGTTTTCGCCCGTGAAATACACAACAAATCTTTTTTGTAGCCTGAAGCTCTTTTTGTTCACTCACGTAATGAAAGTGCCCAAATCAAAGCCAGCCGTGTAGCTAGCATACCAAAGGAACGCACCCTGCGCAGCCAGTGTCTCAACTAAGTTCAGAACAACAAACCCGACAACATATGCAGCGTGAAATCAGGGCGCACTAATGTTGCGGTAGATGTTGCGGGTGCACAACGCGCCATCGGCACGATGGGTGCGGTTTCGTTTTGTATGGCCTCCAAGATAGAGAGCGCGCAGCGTGTTTCTACGCCACTTGCGCACCATTTTGGAGGCCATGCATTTTGCTATTGTGCCGCTGTGCTTGCGTGGCACTATAAGCAAAGAGGCTTCTCCTGCATTCGACAGATGGGGCTTTGTCGTAAAAGACGCCACTTTAAATTTTGATTGACATCGTACGCGTTCCCGCTGCTCGCAACTTTTTAGCATGGTTTCAAAACTATGTTTTGACTTTTATTGCGCAGTTATCTTGCGACATAATGGCTTGATTTACCATTGTTTCAATCGTCAATAGCACTGGCTATCATGCCGAAAAAATATGAACAGATACATTAAAATATATTTTTTTCTCTGTTTTGAAGGACCAAGATAGGGGGTGGGTTCATTGTGCAAATGAGTTCATTGCACTAATAAATACGGTATTACAGCGGCATCTGGCTGTTAGCTGACCTGTTGTAGTACTGCAGCAAGAAGCTACCGATGTATTCCCGTAACTGCGGAGAATAAACACAAACAAAAGTTCACAACACTGCCATCCATCACCGCGTCTATGACCACGTTTTTTTCACCATGTGCATTGTCATTGTTTATATGAGTGCCATTTCACGATGGGGAGATAAGAGATTTACTACCATGTTTAAGCTGAAGGTGGTCGATTATGCGCTAGAGCATAGCAACCACCCTGCCAGCAGGCATTTTTATGCCGACCAAATCCAAACTAGGTACTAGAAGAATCAGTGCGAGAAGCTCATGGCTACCGGCAGCACGCACCGGGTTCTGCACGAGCCCAAATCTGAGAAGTTTTCAGACGTAGAGAAGGCGAACCTCGAAAACGTCAGGACATGGGCAAAGACATGCGGTGTCATTGGACATGATAAAGAAGCAGGCGCGCACAATTTCCCAGAGGCTGGGAATTTCCACAAAGTCCGTGGCAGTGCTATGCTTTTGGGCTGTCGAACCATGAAGTAGCACCTCCGATGAGATGGTCGCCAACAGCTCCAAGAAAGCGGCCACATCAAACACGCTCGGCAAAACAGAAGATGACCTTTCATGGTGCTGTGACGATGACATTGCCAGTACCAACTGGAAATTGTGTGCCAACGACACTGATGCCGGTGATGCTTCAGACTCTTAATGAAAGTCAGAGATTCAGTGAATGAAAAAATAGAAGGGTAATGTGCAATAAATGTAGTTACAGCGTAATGTGCACATTACAAAGGATTATTTTTGGTTATGTTTGTGATAGCTATTGCAAGAATCATGATCTGCAACTCGTTAGCATTTTCGATGCTCGAACAATTTTTTCAAAAAAAATTTACTGCGTCTTAACAATCGCACTGCGAAATTTGGGTCTTTTTTTTTTTTTTTTTCAAGTGCGCTCATCATGGGAGTAAATACAGTAAATATATGCACCTTACAACTACGGCTTTACAGTAACGCGGCCTTACAAAACAGGGTAACCACCTTTTCTGGTGAGTTACAAGCAGTAGATAATGTCAAAACATTCATTTCGAATGTTTGGAAATTTTAAATTTGTGTCAAAGCGAATATGAATACACTCAAACATCGATATAACGAACATCGATATAACAAGATGTTGGTTATAACGATGTAAATAAAGAATAATCGTGCAACAGACATAGTGTTAGGAATATACCTTTAAAACAAACTTTCAGATATAAAAAACTTGAACAGTTGTTCAAGCTTGGGCCATCAAGCTGCCATAATGGGCATTTCTTCAAAATGTTTTTGGAAATCGCATTAGATCAGCAGGCTCATGCTCATATCATCTAGCGGGCCACATTAGCGAAATTTAGTCCAACGAGGGCCAGGGTAGCGAAGAAAGTAGAAGTGGGGGAGGGGGTATTTTAACAAAAAATCGTATAACGTTAACATTTGAAAGAACGTCTTCTGCATATCTGACAAGCGGGTCATATCTGCAAGAGACTCACGCAGGTTTTGACAAAAACATCAAATCTATACGCTCTGCAGAATGGCTAAACCTGAAAAACAGAGTTTGTTCTATGGTGACGTCTCAGAACATAGTGACCTCAGGAAGAAAATGCTGGAGATCAATCATGTCTCTGAAGTTCCCAGAGCAAAGCATTACTGCCAATCTTCGAGAAAATAATGTGAATACCATTTTTTAGCAAAGGTACAAATGTTTATTCTTATGCCATGGGCCGCAAGCGAAAGGTAGGAGGACCCCGTGTTTATTTAAGACCCCTGAATTAGACACTCAAGGTAGCCTCCAAGCTGTCCAAGGTGACATCCACTTACCTCCTTTCGGAAACTTTGACCACGCTTACAATGGAGCCCACTGATGGGTTGCTTGGGTCGTACTCTTCGTCGTCATCTTCGGCCTCGCTCAGAAAGTGCGGTTTCCGGCGCACGACGGCTGCTGCTGCTACCACAGACTTCTTGGTTGGCCGTTCCTGCAATCATAATTACGTTTCCCCCAATTAGTGACAGGTGGCCTCAATGTGTACACGCAGTGCATAACAAAACTTGGATAAAGGAAAGTTGTTTTGCAAGCGAGAAAACAAGAATGCCTGCCCTCTTATACTGTTCTCAAGGGCTCCAATAATTGAGGCCATGTCAGCACCAGCACTCAAGGCCTGCCATACAGTTACTAGGCATCTCAGTGCTCGTACTGTGCAAGGAGAAAGTGGGTGTGCATGTGCATAATAGCAGAATACATACAATGTAAAAGAGGTCATTCTAATGCTTCAGTGGCATACTAATCACGTAACCCCTATGCATTGGGGTGAAGGTGAAATTCCAATACTGCTGCTGCTGCAAGTAAGTCAGTCAACTAACTTTATTTGGGTCCTAAGGAAATACAGAGTCGTAGTTGTGGGCGACACCCACATTGGGGCCGCAAGACCATGGTCCTCCACCCGTTCATGGGCCCTTTGAACAGCCCTTAGTTGCTCATAGAGATTGCTGCTTCAGAGGGCTTCCTCCCAGTCCTCTTGTTTATTAAAAAAAGCATTTTTTAACGCCGAGCATTGCCAGAGCATGTCAGTGGATCACCACGTGAGAGTGCTAGGTCACTCTTGCAAGATCATGAAATTGCCGACAGTAGTAACTTCGATTATTTTATTTGTTTACTTATGCTACAGTGTGCTCTTGATAGTTCAAGCCCGAAGAAAGCCCAATTATTCATTTAACCTACCAGAAGTTCTCATAAATGCGACAACGGGCAACATACACACTTGTATTGAAATGAAACATTCACATGTACATATTTGCCAACCTGGAAACCTCGAAATTTCAGAAATTAGGAAAGGCAGATGTATCACATAAAAAAAAAATAGTGTTCTATGCACTGTTCCTCGGGGCTGCACAAAGATCACAGACAGCTCTGAATAATTTTCAGTAATGCTTTTTATACATCACTGATCCTACATGTATAGTCGAGCCCACATATAACGGCCTCACTTAAAAGGAACTTTCGCTTAAAACTAACAATATCCTCGTGACCGTGAAAATATACATTGGTTCAATGGCACAAAATCGCACTTACAACGAACTTCTCCCGAGCGCCGCTGATCAGTTACAGCGAACGGAGTCGGCGCTCCGCCGACTTCCTGAAAAACCAGATCAGGCATCGGCGAGGAGCCCATACAACCATATTGTTAAACGATGAACCTGCCTGTGCACTTCTCTAGTTGCCGCTCTCCCCGACCTATTTTTGTCACCCACCCCTTCGGCCTTTGTTCTCCCTCCCCACTACTCTGAGCACCCCGCATCCCCAGACGAGGCCCGTGTTTTTACACTGCCACCGATCTTTCAAAGACCAATCGGCCATCTACCCTGTTTTTGATCGCTGGTACCGTCGCTGGCGTCGCCGGCCTGGAGTGACCAGACCATTTTCCAACATCGTCGGCCACCAACTGTATCCGATCGTCTGCGCCTAGGGCACGCGTGTACACTACCCCACCGACTCTGATAATTTGCGATTCGTTTCGTGTTTGGGACTTGTTCTCACTCACTTCGCACTCAGCTCAGCATGCCCTCCGCACGCGTGCGGAAGATCAGAAACGGCTGTTAATGTGCACAGAACGCATCGCAGAATATCGAAGTTGGTGAGGCCACGCAAACCCTCCAGCACAATAAAACGATTCCTTGACCACGGCACCCGATTCTTTGAACACCGCCACGTGCACCAATCCAGGCGGCCGTGCTTCGACTTCTGCATGAGCAGGCTCTCTGTCAAGTTTTTCACGTGCGAGTTGCATGTTTCGCGGACCTTTCAAGCAAGCTACCCAACCTGCCTCCTTTTCGTGTGTTTTGGTTTTCAAGGTCGCCCTCCCGTCTCATCCTCCACTCTGTCGCAACTCCTTGCCCTTCTTTCGCAAGTTTGCTCTCCTCTCTTGATCAAAACCCCTTCGCCAGTCTCCACCGCTCCGCGACGCCAGCCACGCTGGCTCGAATTAGTTTCATTTTCTGTCTAGAAACGAGCACAGAGCTGTTCTACGCGTTCTGGCATGTTTGTCACGTGTGCGCGTCTGGCTCACTCTTGGTGTGCGTGTGTGGTCAGGATGGCAGACTGGAGGACTTGCACGCTTTTTCCTGCCGCTCAACAAAACGTCGAAAGTGTGACCGCCTGGCTTGAGCGTTGTTACGACTGTCATCATTCTTGAAGTTTTTCGGCCTTTGTGAACGGGACGAAAATATTTCGACGCATTCCAAGCAAGGGTGTGCCGTCAAGACGGGTTGATTTCCTCTCGGCGAAACCTGAACGATGGGTTCGAGACTGGTTCGCACAAAGAAAACGCACCAGCCAAGAGAGGCCATTGTGAGCTCGACTCAAGAAAGGCCATGGTGTTTGCTGCGAGCAAGGCTTTCGAGGCAGACATGGAGGCAGCTGGGCCATTTTCAAGGTCACCGAGGATCTGAAAATCTCTGAACCAGCATGGTATTTGCAGTTCAGGCTGCAAGCTAAAGCCAAATTGGTTGTGGCTGCATCTTGCGAGGACAAGCGGAGCCCCGGGATATGTGCAGCTAAGCCGCAGCTTCTAGCAAACAACCAGGAATGGAATGTGGGGGTGAAGAAAAGGATAATGCTCTATCTGCTGCAGCCCTTGCCGGAGCCCGCCTCGGCGACGAGGGATTAGTTGACTAATCATCCCCCCCCCCCCTTTCTCCATAGGATCAGCTGAATGGGGTGGCATGCTTTGAAGGTATGCTGGCCCATCACTACATTGTCCTACCCAAACAGTCAGGCAAGTTTGACACGTGTACTGACAGCCGGTTTTTCGAACCTCACCCAGCTGCCAGAAGAATCTTGGAAACCAAGATCATCGGACATGCGCGAAACTTGGTGACGTGTGCGAAAACGTCAATGCTGTGCTTTGGTGACCATATTTGGGCATCGTGTGGACTATGCCCTCTCCGCATGCATTGTGTGGTGTCTTTCCTCTCCTTCGTGGGTGGAGCACCTAGACCATGGAGCGCCCTATTGGCGGAAGCCGTGGACAATGTGCCCAGGGTTGGCAACTAGGCGCTATATAAGCCGAACACTTTCGTGTATTTCAAGTTCTACAGTTCAACAGTTCTCCTGTACAGTTTTTGACTTCTTGGTCTTCTTTCGAACTCTCGATTACTAACCATGTAAATAAATAGTTGTCGTTTTCACGAGTGCCTCAACTGACTTGTTCGACGATGGGTCCTAGTACGGGGGCCCACTACCAAACTGAGACCCGCGGGACCCGGAGTCGCAACAACTGAATGGCAGCGGTGGGATCGCGTCAACCCATGTCGCAACCACTGGATTCAGCGGAGAAATAGCGTCAACCCAGGTCGCAACCACTGGATTCAGCGGAGAGATGGCGTCAACCCAGGTAGCAACGACTCGATGACAGCAGTCAGATGCTACGACCCCATCGACTTCGAGAGGCGATTGGACAACGGTCGGAAGCTCTGAGCTCATCGACTTGAGAGGCAGCTGAACGGCACTTCTGGGGTGACACGAGGTCATCGACTGCGAGAGGCAACCGGAAGGCACTGCTGAGATGCACGACGCTGGAGGTACAACTGCGAGCCAGGTGAGTGCCGACTTTCTCTGCTAAACTTTACCAGGCATTTACTAATGTGCGAGTAAACGCTGGTAGGGAGAATAGCTTTTTTTGTCATTGTGTAACTGGCGTCAGGCAGATTGTGAGATAGCTTCATTAAGCTATAGTCTGTGGGTGACGGCAAGGTTAACAGTGACAGATCTATTTTAGTCATCAGGTTAACAGATAACTTGCGTCGGGCAGATAATTGTGAGATAGCGTGTTTAAGCTATAGTCTGTGGGTGACGGCAAGGTTAATGGTGACAGGGCTGTTTTAGTCATATGGTTAACAGATAACTTGCGTCGGGCAGATAATTGTGAGATAGCTTGTTTAAGCTATAGTCTGTGGGTGACGGCAAGGTTAACAGTGACAGAACAGGATTCCGTGTAAGAAAGGAAGCTTTTGCAGACTAAGTTAACAAGTAACTTGAGGCAAGGCAGAAAACTAGGGCTGTCATTGTCAGGGTTAATTAGCTGCAAGACAGGAATCATTTGTGGAACACAGAACGGTACCGGAAGCAGTCATGAATCTGAAAGCCCTGCAAAAACCCGTATTGCTAGCGATCGCAGAGGAGTTGAAACTGGATGTGTCGGGCTCCCCAAACAGAACAGAACTGATCGAGCGGATCGTCGGGACAGGGACAAGCGATGAGGACCTCTCAGAGTATGTCGAGAGCATTCAACAGAGAAAACAGGCAGAAGAAGCCGAAAGGATACGTACACACGAAGCTACGATGCAGGCCATTTTTGAGAGGATAGAAAGGTCGAATAATCGCATTCGGGAACTGCATCAGGATCTTCGTCCGTCGTGTATATGTGAAGTATGTGTAAAGCCTAAAAGGTGCGGTGAAGTGGCGAGTACGGTGCAGTGTGAAGTCACCAAAAAAGCCGCTGTTTGCGAGGTACCGCCCGAGAAAGGTACGCGTCTCTATCAGTGCGACATGCAAAGTGATCCTTCGGCGGAGAGAAAAGAGCAACAGGTCGTTAGTAAAATTGCGCCAAGGAAAAGTACGCGACTCTCCGATGATGCGAAGGTAGTGCATGTAGAGAGCGGGACGGCGGCTGGTATGCAAACTGTAGCAAGTCCAAAAGGTGTTCCATGTGAGACCGAGGCTGGTTCCAGTCACCCTGGTGGAGTCATTGAGCAGATTGATGAGCTGGAGACCACGCTCGAGCCTCAGCAGGGAAATGACCTTTTGGAGGTTGAAAGAAAGGCTGACGAAGGTAGTCCTAACTGTAGCGAAGACATAACGCTACTGAAACCCGACAGTACTGCCAGCGAGGGCGAGCTACTGTTGAAAGTATCTCCTACAGATAGCGTGGGAAATACCTCAGAGGGTGAGAAAGTACATTGCGAGGCTGTCGTAGGTGTA